GAGATCGAACTCCGGACCTTGTGCTTTCGAGGCAGGCGCCAGAACCACTGAACTAAATCCCCGGCCAAAGTGGCCTTTTAAAAATGAAACGCCAGATCCCATCTGTGATCAGCCTTTGGACACTGAGTCTTCATCACCTTCGGTGGGATGGGGTGAAGGAGGAGCCAGTCGCCCAGGCCGCTTCTCCCTTCCCTAGCGGTGCCACTGACTTGCTTCCATGAGTTCGTCAAAGTCCTGCCTTGGGAAGATGCTTGCTTCCTCTTGCTGGAGAACGAGGAGGAGCCGCATCATGTCTGAGGCTCGCAGCTGCCTCGCCAAGGTCACCTGCACGGAGGCCACCAGACATCGAGTTTCTGGGGGAAGGGTGGTGACGAAGGCTGGGAGTTCCCAGGACACAGCAGCACATGTGGAAGCCCTGCCCGCATGACAGCCTTCTGTAGAGACGCCAGCCCCACAGATCCCGGCCCCAGCCTTGTTCTCCTCAAGGCCTCCAAGGTCTCAGTCCCACGGGCCTTGGCATTGCTCCACTCCTGCCTAGGGCCTGCCACTGGCCACTGATTTCGGGCCATTGCTCCCACCCTGGGTCCCCTCTGCCTGCCTCGATAGATCCCAGGATCAGCGCGGTGCCTGCTGGGCCGTGTGCTGATTTCACTTGAATTTCATTAATTTGAGGAAATCCTAGGGTTCAGGTCAATTTCCATGGCCACATTTCAGGCTCTTGGATGCGGCCCCGGCCAGGGCAGCCTGCACATGATGTAGGAAATGACTGGAGGGGGTGCAGCCCTGCGGGGGGGACAGCTGTCCTGGCGCATCTGTGCTCTTGGTGCCCGGCCAATGTGCGATAAATAATGGTTAAAATGTTAGCGGCAACCATGGCTCCACGTGATCTCTCCCCTGCATCAGGGATGCATTCCAGGCCTTCGGGAGCATTTTCTTTGACTAGAACGCTGAACCTTACCCAGCTTCCCCCAGAGGGCCCTGGGACTCTGGTCAGCGAAGCGTGCTGGTCACCTCCCTGTGGGGGTCTCCCAGGCTCGCCCAGTCTTGTCCTCCTCCCCTGATCTCCTCTGCCCCACTCCCAGCTCTTCTCTGGTCACCCTGGTTCTGTCACTGTCCTGAGGAGAACACACCGAGCACACCCTGCTGGCGGGGACTCCCTTCCCCCTATCACTGCTTCTCACCTTCTCCGGACCAGGTCCTTGCCTGGAGCAGTGGACACGGGAGCTGTCCAGGGGTGCAGAGGGACAGGGATGCCCACTGCCACAAGCAAGCCAGGGGCTACGGTGCAGATATGGACCAGAAGCCACTGCGTGTGACATACAGGGAGGCGGCCTGGCCCTAACCTGCCTTCCCCACAGAAAAGAACCAAGTCCCCCTGCTGCTGCAGGGGATGCTGGGGGAGCCAGGCGCTAAAATAACCCCATGGTTTTAGAAGCGGGCAAGAGCCAAGGGGAGACAGTGCCTTCTGCTACTCCCGGGGGCTTACTGCCCTTCCTGGGCAGAGATGGTGTGTGCGACTTTCAAGAGGAAGTTGCATTTGCTGCTACTGCTGCGGGTAGAGGCACTCACAGTGGCACGGACTCGAACCCTCATCCTGGACCCCGCAGGCAGGCGCAGGGCACAGACACCTGCAGGTGCCCCCTGCTCTGCGCTGCATCGTCTCAGGCTTGCACTGCAGAGAAAGTGCAGGTTTGCTCTGAACACCTGGGAGCACCCCGGTGGGGCGAGGGCAGTGGCTAGACAGGTGCCCACTCCGAGGAGACCTGGGCCACACTCGGGGCTCCTCGCGGCTCTCAACCCCTCTCCTTCCGCCACAGGCCAGGAGGCTTCTCTCCTCAGGGCGCTCCCAGTCCCAGCCACAGAAGAGCCGGGGACAGTGCGTTGTCCCAAGCCCCCATCCGGTCTCCACCGCCGCCGGGAGGGCCGAGGAGCACCTAGTCCCAGAGCCTCCCTGCGGCGCTCGGGGCTCAGCTCAGAGCCCTGCCACGTGGTGGTGTCTGGATGGGAGACCCCAGGGCGAGGGCAGGGTCACCCCAGTGCACCTCCCCGCTGCCGGGCCAGTCCCCCACCGTCCCCTCCTTGTGCCATCCCGCTCTGCAGCTCACTGCCCACGGGGTGCAGAGCCAGGAGGACCTGGTCCACGGTTGCACACACAGCCCATTGGCTTGGCATCTGCAGACTCCGCTTGGCCCTGGAGTGCTGCATCCTGATTCTGCTCAGAAGCCAAGGATCATCCATGCAGCCTCGGCCGTGGCTGTTGCCAGGGTGAGGACACACGCACTGCGGTGCCGTGTCCGTGTAAGGCTCAGTTAGCCAGGCCGGGCCAGGCCATGTGCAGGAAGGCGTTTCGACTGAGGCTCCAGTAGCACCACGGGGAAAATATATAGCCAGGGCCCCCGGGGAAGCTGTGGGAAAGAACAGGCTACGCACGCAGCCTCTGGACGTGGACTCTGTCAAGCTGCTATTTTTATGGAGTGCGTTATTTTAAAAAATACCATTAAACCGGAAGTAGGGCAGAAATGGCTTTTCTGAATGGCATTCTGAAATGGCAGAAACACGTTTGGTAGAGCTGTTAATTAGTTGATGTTTCGTGCACACACATGCTCGCTCTGTGGACTGAAGCAGTCTGCATCTTAGTAACTGTTTTGATAAAGCACATATGATTGTCCTAATAAATATCCTTAATAGGTGTCTCTCACTTTTTCCTGCTAGCTCTTTTTGTCCTCTTACTGACCAATGTGCAAGGACACGCCTGAGTTACTTGGACAGCCCTGTGTGCTGGCTGCTCCCACACCTCAGGGTCAACTGAGCCAACATCCCTGTGCATGCTGTCTGACAGCCCATGGCAGGTGGTTTCGGAGACAGTGTCAGGTATCGTGCAGCATGTGGCAGTACTGCCCTAGAGATGTGTCAGGCCACCTGAGCCTGAAAGGATGGCCCGCATGAGCATCACTTCCTGTCTCTTGTACAAACTCCTGAGACAACTGTCAAGACTGCCTCATGAGATCAGTGTCAGTAACCTGCCTGAAAACTGCAGGCAAGTCCAGCCAGCGCTAGTTCCGGATTTCTAGCGATCACCAAATCAGCTGGAGGTGGACATTCTGCACTTCATGTGGCAATGTCCGAAAACAGACTTGGTTGCTTCCTTAATTGGGGATGATGGGAGATGCAGGGACTCTCCATCTGTGTGTGAGTTTACTAAATCAGAGACCCAGGAAATCCTGAAACCTCCCCTAGTGCCTTCCTTGCGAAGACACTGGATACGGTGGGCACACACTGCTGTGCCACGACAGAGGCCACTGAGCAACCGGAACAAGCTGCCTTTGCTGAAGAACAAGGCTCTGGGCAAGGTAGTATGAAACAGGTTCACTCGCTTCTTCATTGGATCGTGGCAGGAAGAGGAAGGACTGGGGTAAGTGACCTTCTGCTTGGCGTCTGGGCTCTGCCTGACTCACAGTGTTCAAAGATCAAAGAGAACCCCCAGACTCCACCTCCGACCCCATGGCTGCTCGCAGATACCGCACTGCGGATTTATCTACTTCCTGTCCATACAAGGCCTAGCTGGCCAAGTGCTCAGGCAGTGAGCTTTCGTCACCCACTGATCATGTCATCGCTGGGAAAATCTATAGCGAGGGACCCAGGGGAATTTTAAATCCCAGGAAATGGCTTCTTATAGTTAAAAAATATTTATCTTTGTGAAATGCTGAGGAATGATCTTCAAGTAGCAATTCCTAAAGCATAGCGTTCCCAGGCCAAGCAGGGAAGCCTTTTGCTAAATCTGAGGGCCACACTCCAAAGGATGACACTGGAAGTAGGAAAGGGGAGCAGCTACTCTATAAGGGACGCTGGGATTTGACGAGGTGAAACTCACCAGGACGCTAGGACTCTCATGCTCTCTGGCCACAACAGAGCACCGCCCACAGCCAGGCCTTTGCCAGACCAGGGTGCAGGGGAGCCTGGGTCCTGCAGGGCCAGCAGTCAGGCACAGAGGGCTGTGGACAGGATGAAACCCCTCTCTCCCTGCTGTGGCCTGAGTGTAGACACGGAAATACTGTCTTTTAGAAAGAAGTAACGGCCATACTCGAGGATCGCTTGTTTCATTTGCTTTGTTTTTGTGGTACCAGGGACCAAGCCTGGGCCATAGGCTGCACTCTGCCCCAAGCTCCACTCCCAGCCCCTGCAGACGCCAGGCAGCCGAATGAGACCGATCGCTTCAACTGAACACTGCGCACATCCAACTAGTTATCAGGTCGATATTTCAAATGGCGATACTTTTTCTTCATACTCACCTAGGAAATGAGTTACCCGAAGGGCATTCAGGAAGTATTTTACATTTAGAATCAATGTCAGTGTACAACTGTCAGCGCTGTCTAGTTTTTTTACCTTTGCTGTGGTACAAATGCAACGATGCTTGCCTTTATAGATTTTCATAAAATACATGTTTATGTAAAATATAAGTATAAAACATCATTGGACTTTACATATAGCTGCGTGTGTTTATATATTCACACACACACACACACACACACACACACACACACACACGGCTAGCCCCTGGATCTGTGGGTTTTGCTTTGCGGATTCAATCAACCATGGATTAGAAATACTTGAAAAAAACTGGCCTCTCCTGAGCACATGAGACTTCCCCAGCTAAGGCATGCAGCGTCTGTCTGCACAGCATTTACACTGCACTAGGCCTCACATGTAATCTGGAGACATCTGAAGTACACCAGAGGACGCAAGGCAATGCACCACGTGACCACAGAGACGGGGCACCCTCAGACCTCCGCCCCATGGGCTCCGGCCGGCCTGTGGCAGATCCTGGGCACAGCTGTGTGGGGATTCAGGACAGCAGGAGGCCCCGCCTCACATGACATTGCTGCCCGTGTGGTGACAGAGGACACACAGGTGCCGCACTGCTCAGGAAGCAGCCACTGACCTAATGGCCTTTCGAGGCTGCTCTGTGGGGAACGGGGTGCGAGCGAGATGCTCTGACTTACGCGGCCTCCTTTCTCAGGGTAGCACCGGCAGCCGCCGCTGCAGTCTCTCCCTCCGCAGGGCACATCGAGCTTCTTCACTCCCTGTGAAAATCAAGCACACAGCTGGTCACCTCCAGGGCCTGCGGCAGTCGATCCCCCCGGAGTCCGCACCTCCCACAGCCCAGTGCGTCCTCAGATGGGTGATGAGCATTTTCCGAAACAGTTTCGGGCTCACAGCAGGATGGGTGGAAGGGACAGAGTTCCTCCACTCCTGCCCGACTGTGCCCGGCCTCCCCACTAGGCACAGCCCGCCTGGAGGCCGCTGTCATCCTGGAGCCAGGCTGGGCACAGTGCGTCCCACGGTCGGGCCTTCGGAGCCACCTATGGGACGGTGAGGCTGAGCAGGGTCCTGGGCCCAGGAGCAGAGGATGCGTCCCTGGAGCCAGGGACTCTGGGGAGTGGAGACAGGCAGTGCCCTGTGAGGACACCGCAGGGACCCCAGGAACAGGAGGCGGTGCCTCAGCTGCCTGGAGGTGGAGGTGGAGGTGTCCTGGGAAGGACGGGAAGGGTCCCTTTCGGGGCATCATTCTGGGGCAGGACAGCTCTGTGGGGAGAAGGTGCACCTTATGCCAGGCCTCAGCATCTCAGAATAAAGAGGTGCTGGGGGTGGGAGCCCCAGCAGAGCAGCGCCCTGCACCCCCACCATGTTCACAGGACAGCACAGTGAGCAGCATCGCCACACTGACCTCCTTCCCCTCGGAGTAACTGGTGTGGCGCCTCCACCAGGTGTGTGCGACGGTGCAGCACCCTGCAGTGAGCGGGCGCCGGCCTCCAGCCCTGCTGTCTGTCACAGGAGGCTCTGGCCTCACTTCTTGCTGGCCTGTGCTTTCAGCCAAGTTGGCGAGAGGCCCACAGAGCCCGTCCTACTGGTGGTCACGCTTAGGGGACCCCGCACTCGGTTAAGTCATGGCATTTACGGGGCCAAACCTCACCAGTGGGCAGACCCTGCCAGTGCGTCCACGCAGCGGTGCCACTGTCCTGAGTGTCTCCCTGGGGGCTCAGCAGCAGGTCCCTGGGCGCCCAGTGCAGTCCGGGTGTCCTGGAAAGCGCCACGCCCTTACCCAGGTTGGGTGTGGCCCTGGGGCCCTGCACCTGAGCAGGGTCTGAGCAAGGTCTGTCCCATCCACAGGGACAGGAACCTCAGAGCCATCTGCCGGGTCGCCCCAGGCCCACAGTTCTCAAGGTTCTCTCTGAACAGACGATGAGGTCCTGTCCTTAGCACAGTCCTCTACCGCAAAGGCCCCTGCGCCGGTGTACCAGTCACAACCCTTCTCCTGACCCGCCAGCTCAGCCACCCGCGTGGCTTGAGGAAATCCCCAGTCTGCAAGTCTCAAATCCTCTAGAGAAACCAACACATCGAGAACCTTTTCAACCTCTTCTTAGTGATCTTTTTGTTCTGAGTGAGCTAATGAGGCAGCCGAGTTCCTCAGTGCAAAAGTAAACAGACATAAAATCCTTTTATGCCCTCAAAATATGATTCCAAGTATTCGCCTGTTTTTTTCATGGCTTCAAGGTTTATCTACAATGGGCCACAAGCTCCGTGGTTTTGTTTATGTGTTCTGAAGGGCACAGCTCCATGCATCACCTGCAGCTGCAGGGGACTGGCCTGGGTGGGACAAGCAAAGACTTTCAGGACAGGGGACCACACTGACAGCAGGAGGGGGACCCCGCTTCACCAAGAACTCACTGGGGGAAGGGGAGGGGCTGCTGGGTCCAGAAGGGGGGTCCATGCGCACAACCCCCATCTGCTGGTTCACAGGCCATTTCTAATTCTGATTTGAGAGCCACTAGCCAAACCCTGGGCATAAATCAGTGGTTGACATGATTCAAATCGGCCTCCCTGTTCTGAGTTTAGGAGACTCCCTGGATTTGTTAGGGAAGCACCTTCGCTCCTCACTGCCTGCCTGAAGTGGAACGGTGCTTTTTTGCTGTGAGGGCCAGGACAGGAGGCAGCCCGGGACACCTCCAGGGTCCACAGCTCTGTCCCAGACCAAGCCAACTCCCCCTGCAGACACTCCGGACTCCAGCCGTGTGTGAGACACACACACACCTGTCCAGCCTCTCCCCTGCCCTTTGGGGGAGGCGCTTATGAATTCCAGCACCTACAAGAGCCCTCGATGCCACACTCAGGAATGCCGGTCTCAGGACCAGCAGAAATATTTGTGCCCTGGGGCAGGGTGTGGGCTCCAGACAGCCTCTGGCAAAGCAGCAGGTCCCCACATGGTCCCTGGGCAGACTCGGGGCCCTGGAACCTCCTCCACATGGTGCCCTCCTGAAGATGCAGAGGGGAGGGCTGCATGCAGGCCCAGAGCTGCGGCCTGCCTGCCGGTGTCCCCAACAGGACAACGCTACCCACTCACACAGGTGGGCTGGCTCCACGTTGTGACTCTGTCCCTTGATTTGCAACCCAAGGACAAACTCTGAGCCTGCTTCTGGTCAAGTCCTCAGGAAAACCGCCTCATTTCTCCCACCCTGCCTGTGTCTCTGGTGCTGCCAGCCACCTTAGGAGTGGAACCTGCCCCTCGATTCCAAGTCCTACTGGGTCAGGATCCGCTTTCCCCAGAGATTTCCAGTTAGCGTGCTGGGGTCTGCAAAACCCTGTGCTGGGTGGTGGCTGGGCCTGGGAAGGGGCCTCGCTGGGCCCAGGACGGGCGTCCCCACCCAGCCAGCTTGTCTCAGTGCTGCACGAAGTGGGGCGGGCTCAGGAGGTTCCCCTGGTTAAGGGGGACCCTGGGTGTGTCTGTCCCAGCAAAGGGCCATCCCCAGCCTCCCTTTGACCCGGCTTCCTGCAGGAGTCTGAGCACCTGGACTCAGGGAGGGACTTCCAGTCTGAGTCAATGTTTAGTTCTCTTCTCCTTCTCCAAAATATACACTTCCAGCGCCCTCTTTTCCCCTGGGTTTTACCCTGGCCTGCACTGGTGGCCAGCACTACTGTGCTGATCAGAAATCAGGGGACTCAGAAGTGACCCGGATGGCTTGGGAGCCCGCTGGTGAGGTGAAGGCCCCAGAGATGTTTTCTGGGGACCCAGGTCACCTTCTGCTCAGTCTGGATGCAGCTAACACTGTTCCCAGGTGGGCAGTGGGGAAGCTTTGGGAGCAGGACTCTCAGGTGATCTTTTACAGGGATTCTTCCCCTGGAGTCTTCCTGACTCCTTACATTAGGAAGCACTGAAAACCCGTCTGTCTTGTGCACATCCTCCCTAGACATATCCAGACCGAGCTGCAGCGTCCGGAGCCTTGGGAGAGCAGAAGCCCTGAATGCCACCGGGGAGACTGGCTCCAGCCTCCCGACCCGGCTTCCTCTCGGGCTCATGGGCAGTGCTCTGTGCCTGGATCCCTGGCTCTTCGGCTGCCACAGTGACTGCCTTGCCGTTCATAAACGGATTCCGAAGAGCCGGAGCAGAGATCAACAGAAGCAGCTGCAAGATTAAGAGGACATCCGGTCCCACGGGGGCTGGCGCTGGCTCCGAGGGAGCGGCCAAGGCAGAGGATCACATCGCTTCCCCGGGGACCTGGGCCAGGCATTCAGGAAGAGGGGCCTGCAGTCCCAGCGCACAGAATGCTGCCTGCCCAGTGCCGCTCCTCCCAGACTTGTGCTTGTATTCAGGACATTTAAAAACATTAAAAAATATGCAACAACTAGACTGCCAGAAAATAAAACACAAGAAGACGTAGACTCTCTAAGTCTCTTTGACTTCCTGTGCGAGTTGTCCATGTATATTAAAGGCAAAACCCCATGGAAATGTACCCGGCTTTTTGTAGCTCTGTCGTCTAAAGCTGACAAACTATAGGGAATGAAAGACAAAAACGGTGGCCAACTTGCACATAAAAGTGAGTATTAATCACATTTATATGAAGATCCAAGAACAAAATACATCTGTCCTAAAACAAAGAATATTTTGTCCTCTACATGTTCCAAAAATGCCTTGTCCAAGGAAGTTTTTTTTAGCCAATATACCTCCAGCCAAAAAGAGTAACTCTCTGAAGGGAATTCATAGATATTTCCCATCGAATCGCCCCCGGCATCCAACCCAAACTTCCTCTGCAGAGCAAGCCTCGACTACCCGGCCTAAGGGACATGAAAGGTAAATATTTCTTACTGCTGAAAGTAATTACCTTTCATATTTTAAGGCAAAATAATCTCTACTAGTCTTTGTCTTTGCTGCAAGTCTGGTCAAGCAGAGCTTTTTAGAAATATCCTCCTAGTCCAAAAATAGAGGCCAACCAAGAAGAAAGCCAACTTGGGACTGAGCTCCCAGAAAGTTCTATTCATTTATCAAAACAGGAAATATAAGCCATTTCCACACATGCTGCTTTAGAAATTAAGGAAATCATTCCAACATGGTATTAGCAGGACAAGGTATATGGAAAAGGAAGCTGGAGTCACAGGGCCACTCACAGAACAAATCCTGTCCCCAAAGAGCCAGGGGAGACCCTGCCAACTCAGATGCTGTCCTTTGTTTAACAGCATTTTAAGGGAACTAAAACAACTGCGGTCACTCTAGATCGCAGAGGTAGCACGGGGATGGACCACCCAATGACCACCAACAGTTCCAGCATGGTGATGACGCCACTCCCCGTCCTCAGGGAGCTGGACGTGCAGGAGATTTAGGAGGTCAGGCTGTTGTGTTGAAGCAGAAGAGCCGGGGGTGGTGGGAAGGCTGCAGTCTGGTCCTGGGCAAGCTCCCTTAGTTCCAGCCGTGAATACCTGGGGAGTGGCCATGCTGCCCTCCCGTCACCATGGCAGCAGATGCTACCATGGCAGCAGACAGCAATCAGGAGGCTTGGCCTTAGGAGCTGTGCCTGAGTCATCAGGAACAAGATGCACACTTGTACATCTCACTGAGCAACTTCGGGCCACCTTCTAGTTCTGGAGCAGCTCCAAGTGCAGGGGGTTTCCCACAGTGGCTTGGAACCTGTGCAACGTGGGACAGCCACTCGAGTACCCAAGGTGCTTCGTGCCGGTGCTGATGGCAGGAATGTGATGGGGGAGGGGGGGGTGTATGGGCCAAGAGCGCTCCGAAGGCCAGGGGCCAAGGCCA